GTTTTGTAAAATTTGCCAAAAATTGTAGAAAAATCGTATGAAAATGTGAGAGTAGTCATTTTAAAGGTATAAATCTGAACTTTATACATGTAAAACAGTTTTGAAAAATACTTCCATTTGGAGAGTTAAAACAGTCCGAGAATGGACCAAAACTTTTCTGTCAAGGTCTGTTTTGTGAGTTTAGTTTATAGATCTTTGAACCCAACACTCATTTTTGCTATATCAAGTATACAAATCCCAGATCTACAAGTTACATGTATTATATGAGATAAAATATACTTTTCTCATGTTTCATATGAAGATCCTAGTGATGCACTTCAAGTTTCTTAACATATTTGTAGATTAGTGAAGAAATCACACATAATCACCAAATGTTTCAAGGAAATCACACATAATCATGCATATACACATAGATCTACACAAATTAACTTGTATTCTCCCCCAAAAACAAGGAAAAACCAAAAACAAGGGGGTATGAACTCACTTGGCTTTGAAGTTTCGGTTTTGATGAAGAATAAGGTGAAGATCTCAGCTTTAGCAAGCCTCTTGAAGAAGTTTTCGAACTTGGATGGTTCACAATGGATGAGTTTGTGACATCCCCAAAATCACGGCCAGAAAAGACCGGTTTTGTTTATACTTTATTTCAAAATCAGAGTTATCTTTTAATAAAAGGTTTGCGGAATTTGTCCCAAAACAATAATATGATAAAGATTTATCAAAAGCATTTCCATAGAAATGTATTCATTAAAAGACTCGGGATGTCATGTTCGTACAGATCAAAAGTATAAACAGTACAATATAAGCCTTACTACATTATTTCATATCTACAGGCCTATATCCGTAATCCCTCGTCCAAAACATCACACCTATGCTCATGCGCCACTTCCTGTAATACATAAAACTGAGTGGGTCAGGCTTGGGAGCCTGGTGAGCACATAGGGTTTTCAACCCACAATAAATAAGTTTATTAAGTTCATCAATCAACAATAACCCGATTACCCGTTCCCGTTATCCTCACTTTACGTCCCTAAACACCTATCATAAGGGACCTAGCCTAAGGATCATCATCGGGACGGACACTACTGCTAAGGGGATTCCTCAGCAATAAATGTCCTAATAGGAAACCATGTGGGGGATGGAGTACACCGGTGAACACATCGTTCACAACACCTACAGGTTGCGAGCCTGCTAGTGTTCCACTGGACTGTCTAGAAGAGTCCGTGGTCGTCATCTATACTCCGCTAGATGACTGGATCAACAACAACAACATCGAGGCCTCTCATCATTTTATCACACATCACCTATTACATCTACCCATGTTTTACCCCAACATTTTCGTAGATATAAAATACATATACAGTTTAAATCATTGAAAACATGTATAACAACGTTCATCTAGCATAGATAGCAAGTATTCAGATAATATGCACAAATAGCACGTAATTTATATAAAATACTTCATATCTATGTGTAAGTTGAAGGTAACTATGCACTCACCTGATTAGGTGGTGACTCAGCACTCGGACAGCGCTTCGCTACTCTCAAAATGATATTCTTCGATAAAACCTAGTATCGATACCACTAGGGTTTAGTCTAATGATGACCGCGACAAATTAATTGTCTGACTATTATTATTATTATATAAGCGTTAATAACACTTAATATAACTCATAATAATAGCCCAAATAATTATTTTAAGGACCTAATAACATTCCTATATTAAAACATAAGCTAAACTAAAGTTAGGATAGGTACAGCTCACTTACAGCGGGTTTTTCTCGAAAACCGGGCTTCGCTGGAGCAGCGTTCCCGAGCCGAAAGGCTCTTTTCTCGGGACTCCGGGAGCCTCGGGGCTTCCTTCGGGTGCTAGGGGGTTTACCTAGGCTTTTAGGGGGGTTAGGGGGCTAGAGAGAGAGTCTAGAGAGAGAAAGAATAGTTTAGGAAGGTGTGAAGAATGAGGGAACCCGGCACCTCTATTTATAGGGGAGGAATTGGGTGGACTCGTTGAGTCTGAGTCATGACTCGTCGAGTCAGTCCATGTGGTGGCCTTCTGGTGGTGCCACGTGTCCAATTCTGATGGTGCCACGTCACCCCCTATCGCGTATCAGCCTTCAAACTTAGAAAAATCATAACTTTCGCATACGAGCTCCATTTTCGACGTTCTTTATATCCACGCGTAGGTAAAATCAAGATCTACAACTTTCGTTTAGACTCCGTCGGCTAATTCTCGACCGATCTCAAATTTAACAGTAGGAGGCGTTTAGACTGTTAAATGACCGCGAAGAGTTCATAACTCCTTCATACGGACTCCGTTTTCGTCTGTCTTTTTACCGTTGAGTTCCTATGAATGAGATATTCAACTCTCATTTAGGTCGCGTAAGCCAAAAACCGCTCGAACTAAAATTCGAGTTTCGGGCTGTACACTGCTAAGCCGAATCTTAGAAAAATCATAACTTCTTCATACGAAGTCAGATTTGGGTGTTCTTTTTATCGATGTTCTTAGTTTAACATATTCTACGACTTTTGTTTAGATTTCTAAGGCTAAAAAATCTTCTATCGTAAATTTACCATTTTATGTTTTCCGGTGCCGTGCCGGTTTTGCCGTAAAACTTCGGCGGGCCATAACTTCTTCGTTATAGCTCGGATTTCGGCATTCTTTATATGTACGGAAACCTCGAGACATATTCTACAACTTTATGTAGAGATATCGGGATTATCTCACACTTTAATTTTGACGCTCATTTTTATTCTTTATTAATTATACATTTATAATTTAATAATAAACACATAAACACATAGTTCACATAATACTCAAATATTTCATATTTATTACTTCAAAAAGAGTTACAATAGTTGACCTAGACTATTACATTGACAAAATGCTTAGCCCTGAAAACCCGGGCGTTACAGAGTTCTTGAAGTGATTCTCTTGAAGATCTTCCTTATACTCACGTTTTTTCTTAAGAGGAAATGGGTGGAGATGTGTTGTATGCTTGAGAGAATAATGGTTAAGTTTGAGAAGAGAGATAGATTAGAGTAAGAGAGAGATGGCCGAGAGTTAGAGAAGATAGGGGAGAGAGGTGACTTGCATGGAAGTATGGGGGATCTAACATGGATACATGGTGGACAATGTGGAGGTGGCACCTCAAAAGTCAACCCTCTCCTTTCCATTTCATTTTTCATTTTTTTTATTTGATGTTGGGCCGAGATTAATGGGCCAAAAGGAGTAGGGATGGAGTAAAGTGAGCCCATTAACATCTAGCTACGACTTTTGGAACCTAAACATAAAATTTCCGGCCCATTGGGCTCATTAGACAACTCACGGCGCATTATGGTATAAAGGAATGGGCTTATAGCCCATTAAGGCTAATTAATTCATTTATGGCCCATCATGGTCCAATGAAGAATTCATAGTCCATAACCAACTTGAATCGGAATTTTTAGAGTTTCAAACTCTTTGTTAAACATGAGAGATGCATTTGAATGAGCATAGAGTATGATATTCGCTTAGAGTACCAGTTATTGTACTGGTTGAATGATTATAGGAGAGTGGAATTCCCTAGCAAAAATGCTAGTTGTGACATCTATGGTTGGTGCCTTTGATTCTGGATTACCATGAATTTGTGAACAATGTGTGGGTCGATTATTTCTTTTCCAAATACGAAATGCTTGATGCCTGCCGCTAAAGATTTCTTGTGTAATTTTCAGGTGGGTTTTGTTAGGGTTGGCAAGTGTCGATAGTGTGTGTGTGTGTGTGTGTGTGTGTTGACTATAAACCTACAACTAGAGACACTTGATATCAATTTCTGAAAGTGTATGTGTCGTATGATAAACAAACACTGACGACATTAATGAACAAGCATGACACGGTGGTCATGAACAAATAGGGGTAGAGATGGTAAGATGGGCTAATGGTGGTGGCTAGGGGAAATAAAGGGGTGAGGTATGTGGAAGAAGGGCTCAATTCAAAAGAGAAGTAGAAAAGGGGCGATAGATCACCATCGCAGACTTGTTGTTGTTTCCTTTGAAAACCTACAACTCGAGAAAAAATGGAAGAAGAGGGGACCAATTTTTGATCTTGACCTACAGTTTTCCTCATCTATATTTCTTTTAATTAACATATGCATTGAACGAAGATGACGAAGGAAGTGTGGGATAATTTGAGTGTGTGTGTACGTTTTGAGTGTATGTGTGTGTGCTTGTGTTTTCTTAATTTTGGAAGAGAAAGAGATAACATGAGAGAGAGAGAGAGAGAGAGAATTTATTTTGTTTTTGTATTTCATTTTATTATAAAAATAAGAAAATAAATAAAAGAAATTAAAATATAATTATTTAAGAGCATAGTAGTCATTTTAGGTGGGATGTGGACTAAAAACACAAGAATATATAATCATAGGGACCAATACCACACAAAATATTTAAAATCGAACGAGTGGTTTATTAACATTTTGTTTTGGACCAAAACTACAGAATTTCGCCAAACGCTGACCAATTTTTGCAATTTTGTCTTAATTAAACTTAAACCTTTCATAGGAGATTTATATTTCAAAAAAGTTTTCTTTCAAAATACTAGAACTGCTTTATAAAATTAAGAGTAAATTTAAAATCCTTGTGGTTAGCTCAAATTCACACATTTGGTCCTACTATTTGATTTCTGACATGGCTGGTTCTTGTAGTTTTCATTTGCTGCATAACTAGTCCATGACGCTAGCGCTTGTTCATTTCCACCGTTAACGAATGGCATGTGGAGCTAACATTAGGGAAAACTGGACATGTCATCAAGATAGGTTTATATCAAGACCTTGGGTAATTTTCTAGCATGTTTTTATGATCATGAACCAATTACTTCATATACACCAAACTGTATACTGGTCATTTTACCCTAGGTAATACTAAAACATTGTATGAATACATTAGCTAAAATGCTAATGACCATTATACAATGTGGTAAATAACCATGTTTTTTTCATCACTTCCATTAATCGACTTCATACATCCATTTATCTAAAGATATCCGCAATTCTTTCCGCAAGACAATAAGCAGTTGATTGGATTGTGATCATGGGATTCACACCAACAGCACTCGGTAGAATACTCGCATCACAAACATAAAGTCCCTCCGCTTCCCAGCTCTCTCCATTCTCATCCACTGCACCTTCCTTCTCACTCTTCCCCATTCTGCAACTCCCCATTTGATGAGCCGAACAATAAATATTCCAATCTTTCACCATTGACATCGGACCAGGTACAGCATCTACTGTCTCCAAGAACTCCTCGATCTCCTCTTCACTTGTCCCTTTGCATTTCAATTTCTGCCCATCGCTTCTTTGAGTACCCACTTCAACAGCCCCAGCTGCAATCAACACCCTTAACGCTTGTCTCAACCCTTTCTTGATGTTTTCATTGTCGAATTTGCTAAATTTATAACTTATCCTTCCTGCTGACGTCACTTCCCCAGATCCTCGGTCTTTCACCAATGAAAACACATGAGCTGTTCGAGAGTATTTCAGCATCCTTTCCTTTAAATCTTGCCCTGAAACCCAAGGAGTTAAACCAGCGAAACATCCGGGCCCTAAAGCTGGGACTTCCAAGATGTATGTCTCTTCGGACCCTGGTTTATGAACAGATGTCAGTATCCCCCCTTCGTAGCTTTTTCCAGTAAGATCGGTTTCACCTTCGGGAAAGTATCCCCATGCCATTGCAACAGGATGGAGATGAAGATTCTTGCCAATATTAGGGTTTTTCAGACCACTTGATATCATTATAGGCGGCGTTAAAAGAGACCCACATGCAGAAATTGTCACCTTTGCCTCGATGTGTAATCTTTTCAAGATTTTATCGTTTAAAACTTGAGCAATTACTCCTAAACATTTCTTTCGTCTTTTCTTCCCGTTTTGGTTTCTTGTTAGCATAAATTTCTTGGCTTTACATCCGGTTATGATCACAGCTCCATGATCGACTGCGTCAACCAACCAAGTCGAGTCGGTTCCCTTTTTGTCTCCTGATCTACAGCCATAACAACAAGTCCCACAGTGATGATTCTCAGACGCGTTTTGTGGGACAGAATCGACTTTTAGCCCTAGATTCTGACACCCTTTTCGAAGAACTTGATTCTGGAACCCTTCTTTTGTGCATTTTTCAGTAACACCGATTCTTTCACACACTTTGTTCATTGCAGAAGTGTACTCATGGCTCTCGTATAACTTAATGTTGTGTTCTTCAGCCCATTCTTTTCGCAAGGATTGTGGCGTCTTAATGCAAGCTGACCAATTCACGGCTGAACCACCTCCAACTGTTGATCCAGCTTGGATCATTACTTTCCCATCGAGTGTAGGAAGTATTCCTCCTGATTCATAGAGTTGATCCAAAGAAGGTCCTTCCAGTTTTGAATAATCTGTTTGAGTAAAGTAGTTTCCTTTTTCAAGAACCACGACTTTCTTCCCGGATTTTGCAAGTATGGCAGCTGCAACGCCACCACCACAACCAGAGCCGATAATTACAACATCGCATTTGATTTTGCAAATGTTCTCTTTAAGTTCTTCGGTCACATCAAGGCCTTTTTGAAGGAGAGAATGCACGAGGGTTTGATCGGTTTCTTTCATGATCTCCACCATTCCTTTCTGCAAAGGGCGCTTGTTTTGCTCCTTTTTCGGGTGTTCTTCGTTAATGTCTACGTGGTAACCGATGGCTTCCCATGCAGGATTATCTGCTTTCTTACCAACCTGTTAGGAAATTTAAAGAATATATCATGTTAGATGAAAAATCATATGTTAATTCCTTTTCGAAGTGAAGAAACTATTTGAAAATGTTAAATCTTTACTAAATTTTTGTTTCATATCAATAATTAGAGTTAAACGGTGTGTTTTAATTATAGATATTATTTATGTACCCAATTTATTCTTACCTGTAGCTCGTGTAGGCCAACTCTTGTTTGAAGAATAACCATTTTATATAAATCTTGATCAAATGATGTTTTATATTTTCGTTTACATGTTGACAAGGCCTCTACGAATGCTTAGGGAATTGATGAAGATGACAACGAAATGGTCCTTGGAGTATCGTATGAAATTTTAACAATTCTCTTGCCGTGTATTGAAATAAAATCATAATTGTTCAAGGTACTAGTTGTGTACGTATTTTATAGCAAAAAACTTAATCTAATTAAAAACAACTTAGAGAGTCTTTTCATACTCCAAATTATTGATTTTGACCAATCAAATATGTGGGTCATACTTATCTCATATTGTTTTGCATTAAAAGTGTGTACTATGTATCTGTTTTGCAAGATTACGATAAGAATTATCTACTTTTAAAATCTGGGATTAACAAGAAAACAATTAAACAAACATAATAAAGGAAGAAGAGATCACCTGAGTGAAGAAGACCAAAAGGCAGAGTGTCTTGATGAACACGAATCCGAGTCTGATAGGCGTTAGAAACCTATTCTCGAACCATTTCTGAACAATCTTCTCCCTCTTATCTAGCGGAATTTCTGAGAAGTTGTGTACGTATGGCCATTTATGAGAAAGACAAAGAGTTCCAGAAAGTAAAAGGGTACCCAGTCTTGTGGAAAGAAGTGTTAACACCAATTTCACCACCATCACTGCTTCAAGAAACGCCCTCGTCTTCAAAAGATGAACCACCTGTTTCCAATTCCATCACTTTGATCAATTTCAATTTGATTAAAAAAAAAAAAACAAAGGGAATCGAATTTGATGATATGTTGAAGAGTTAGGTACTTAGGTTGATGTTACCTTATTAGGTATTGGGTATTGAGAACCAGAAGCAGTGGAGAATGAACGGATGCTTTCTTCCACTTTGTTGCCATGATCATCAAGAGAATTCAAAGGGAGTGGTTGTACGATGACGTCACATATGCTGCTTAGAGTTGCCATTTCTGATGAAGAAAAGCTTCCGTTTTTGTAGTCTTCATCTCTCTCACCTTGTAACAGAGGGTGACACTTTCTCTCACTGTCATCATACATCTCTCTCTTTCTCTATGTTATGTTGATTTCAGATGGAATTGAGGGTGTATAACTGTATATCGTGTGGTATGATGGGTATCGCATATGTTAATTTATATACAAGTTCGAGGCGTTGAAATATGGAAAGTGTCTCTATTTCCAAACTAAAAGCCAATTGTTTAAGCGGTAGTACGTAAAACAATTTTTATTAATACCCAAAAGTAGCTGCAGTCTTCGGTATAAAATAAATATTGGCCAAATTTAAAATTTTATCCGCGTATTATTTGAAAAGTTTTGATTCGGTAAATATGTATGATATTTTGCACGGGTGACCCTAAAACAAAGTTTTGTTGCACTTTTTGGTTCCTAAAACTTCTAATTTAACAAAGCATTTCCGGGCTTGTCTTTAACCATCTACTTCATGTGTTTCAACTTTCTACCTTCTCATCTTCTTCATTGTATTTCGATTTCAAGAAGTTTAAATTCAAACAAGAATCTATAAATATTTTAAATTTAGACTAATTAAACAAATGATTATAAATTGATAGTAAATAATCAAAATCAATGTAAACTAATGAACAAAATATTGTTAGGGTTTATTTATTGAAAATTTCAATGAAATGAAAATATGATGTAAATAAGAAAGTTAATTAGGTTAAACCTAGCTAAAGAACTAAAGGGGCAAACAATGAGCCCAAACCACAAAAGGGCCTAATAGATTTATTAGGCTAACAACATCTTCCTCAAATTCATAATACGACAACAATGAGCATTGAGAGTTTGTCAAACAGAAAATGAAACCGACGAGTAGTCAAGGTTTTTCGTAAATATCTCAATAATCTATATTATGGATGAGACACGAGGAAGAAAAATAGTCACATGCAAAAAGTGGTGACGAGTGAAATGAAAATCTTTCTCAATATGTTTTGTATGCTCATGAAACACCGAATTCTTAATAATCATTATTGCACTCTTGTCGCTTCATTGCAAAGGGGTTAGCTAAGAAATATGGACACCCATGTCTGCAGGAAGCCATCACAGCCACACAATCTCACAAGTAGCAACAACCATAACTCAATACTCAAATTTTGTAGATGATCGAGAGAAAACATCTTGTTTCTAACAATTATGTGAAATCAACGAATCTCCAAGAAAGATACAATACCAAGTAGTAGACTTGTGATCATAAACATTGTTATCCCAGACAACGACACTATAGGCATGCAACTCAAGATATGTAGTGAAAAAAACCACATGGAGAAACTGAGTACTAAAAGATATCTCAAAATACGCAGAATAACTCCCTAATGAACCATGGAAGGAGCAGTAAAAAACTGTCTAACCACATGAAATACATGAACAATATATGGCCTAGTAATGGTAAGATACACAAAAATCCCCCACAATGGTACAATAAGGGCTCGGATATGACAAGGGAAAATCATTAGTTGGAGAATACATGGCATTACTCTCTAGAGGGGTATCAATTGTTTTGTTATCCGAAATTTGTGTGTCTTCAAACAAATCTAAGATATACTTTATTTGAGATAAAAGTTATCCTTTTGGAGATTGTGTAACTTCACTCACCAAGAAATAACACAATAAGCTCAAGTATTTCATAGCAAAACGATTAGCCAAATCACACTTCAAGGACTCTATACCATCATGATGATTGCCAGTAATAATCATATCATTAACATATAAGGAAATATGGATCCTACATGTACTTGTACATCTAAGAAACAAAGTAGTATCATGAAAACTAGATTAAAAATGATGGGAAGTAATTACTGTAGAAAATTTCTCAAACAAAGCATGAGGGCTTGGAGTAAACCATGTAATGCTTTCCAAAGCCGAAAAACTTCACCCGGACGGTGAGTAATACCTTATGGAGGAGACATGTATACCTTTTGATGAAGATCAACATTCAAAAATGCATTCTTGACATCCATCTAATAAATCTTCCATTATCGGATAGAAGAAACAACATTTAGATTGCATATAGTTGTCATTTTTGCATCTAGATCAAATGTCTCTTCATAATCCATACCATATTCTTGCAAGTATCCTTTTGCAACAATTCTGGATGTATGACATTCAATAGATGCATCAGACTTGATTTTGATCTTATATACTCAACGAAAACCAATTATGTGTTTTGTAGGTGGGAGCGGAACCAACTCCAATGTATGAGTTTGATAAACAGTTGTAAGTTCCTCAACCATAGCGTTTTGCCAAAAAGGGTCAGAGACGGCCTCTTTATAGGATATTGGTTTAGATCTACGAGATATATACCCAATAAAGGAGGAAAAATTGTCAAGTAAGAGGAATATACAAATTCAAAAAGCTTGGTGGACTTTCGAGTGTGAGTACATATAGATGGTGGGGGATCCTAAGCATGATGAGGATCCTAAGTAGGTGGGGGTTCCTGAAAAACAACAGGTGTGGGATAAGAAGTTGGAAGGCTATTTGAAATAGCGGAAGAATTAGAAGAAACGTCATCATTGTCAATGCGTTGTGTAACTAAATAGTAATGTTATGGAAAGGAACATGTTCTAAAAAGGTGACATGTCAAAAGATATATAATTTTTGACTTATCGGGTCATTATATCGATATCCTTTTTGACCAATACCATATCGCATGAATACACATAAAGCATAGTTTGGAGATAACTTGGTTCGCTCAGCATGAAGTTGTAAAAACTCATGTATACATAAATACATGATATAAAGAATAATAAAGAAGTTTTCCATACATTTTTTCATAGGGAGACATCCCAGAAATGTGTGCAGTACGAATGCGATTAATGATATATGTGGCGGTAATAACGACTTCTCCCTGAAAGATACTAAGGACCTAAGTTGATAAAAGCAAGAATGGTGCAATTTCAACATGGTGGCGATGTTTTCTTTAAATAATAACATTTTTATTAGGGGTATCTATACATGATCATTCTTGCATAGTATCATCATATTCAAGTAATTAAGTAAACTCATTTGAAGTGTATTCCCCTCTCAAATCACAACGGAAGCATTTTATGACAACAAAGTGTTGAGTCTTAACATCAACTCTAAATACGCTATATATGGTGAAAAAAGATAGATAAGCTCTTCATAAGATAAACCCACGAATAATGAGTGTAATCATTTCTAAAAGAAACATACTAGAAGGATCCTCCTTTGAAGGAAATCTGTGAGGGACCCCACACATCAAAATGTACAATATCAAAAGCAGCAACAGAACTGGTGACACTTTTATTAAACAAAAGAGCATAAAATTTTCCTAGATTATAAGCACACCAATCAGAAATATCATGACTATTAAAACGATCTAACACACAAGTAGAAGATAAAAACTATAAATGAGATGCAGAAACATGACCTAAACGAGAATGCCAAAGATAAAATTCTAAAGATGATTTATTTAAATGAAAAGATGAAAAATAAACACTGGAAGAAACAACATTAGACACTAGTACTTTCTCTAATACATAAAGGTCCCGAAGTATACGGCTAATCCCAATCACCATTTAAGATTGTTGATCCTATACACAATATAGTGAATCAAAGATACTTACGCATCTGACTGACTGAGGTAAGATTCAAAGAATTTATGGAAATATAATATACATCGATCAAAGATATAACATAACTAGGCGTACCAAAACATAACGAAATAAAAGATTAAAAATGTGGTGACATATGATGAGATGCACTAGAATCTAATATCCACAATGATGAAGGAATACATGAAGCATTAGATAGGGATAAATGTGAGTGACATGTGGATGCTACCATGGTAGTAGGATTGGAGGCAAGGACCTATCTGAACTTTTCAGCAACCTAAGGATCAAAAATTGATGGTGGTATAACAATGGTTTCGGTCTCTACTAAAGGTGTAACGACAGCCATGAACTATGGTAAATGAAAAGGTGGAAGTCTTTATTACTGCCACACTCAAAAGGTCAATTTTGATGTGGAGATTGAAACTGTCCATGTGGTCTAGTCTGTTGTTACGGCTGATTTACATTGCTGAATAGCGAGGAGCACAAAGATTTCCAATGGTTTTTCTTTTTTGTAGAGGTCACACTCATCAAATACAAATATATGAAATTTTTTATTAAATTTATAAGGTCTTTGAGGAATAATAAAGACAGCTGGAGTAGTAGCATACTTATATTTTTTAGCATGTGACTTTATATGAGTTTCTTCAGCATTTAACTTGTAAGCAACTAAATCAACAATTGGTAAAGGTGTACTATGACACTTATTTTTATAATTGGTGTTAACGAATGATAATGAGTAATAATTAGTAGAAGAAAGTGATAACAATGTTCATATGAGGAAGTTATGGTCGTTCAAAGTTGAGATGAAAGTATGTTGCTATTTTGAGAAAGAAAAAAAAGTAATGATCAATGGAGACTCTTTGTGGCATGTTGTAGTCATCCCCATGACATGGAGAAGGAGTGAGTTGTAAGGACATGTGTCGGTAATAGAACGACATGTAGTGAAGAAGTAAACACGTGACGAAAATTGGATTCTCCTCATCACCAAATTGCAAAACGTCCAACATATAAATATGAGCCATTTTTGACGTTTTAGAGATTTTGGAACACGTGGTCGGGGGAACGGATCGAGAGGTGTTCATGTAGGCTTATGATTGGAGCATTGTACTATTGTACGGGGGAAACGATGGTTGAATTATGGGATTATATGTGGTATCTTTTATCCTGTTATTACATAAGTATGTTATTATGATATTTCATAAAGGGTTGATAAACCCGAGTGTGTATTACGGGATTTCGTGATATGATAATATTACGAACCCAATGATTTGTTAAATGTTAATCTCGTAATTTTAGGTTAAATACCCTAATTTATCGAGAATTGTAGATTGGGTTAATGACTTCTGGGGCTAAGCCATTAGGTGATTCTATTTGAAAACATGACTAGCTTGGTGACAAATGATTACAAAGTCTACTTAGTGATCAGATAATTGATCACTATAGTGGATATAGTGATGAGATTAGAAGAGTTCTAATGAACTTGATATATTGTCCAAATAGGGTTAAACAAGTGATGATTTGAAAGTAGTGCTAAAGTGGAGGCCAGAATAATAGTTAGTCTTCAGTAACTAACCAAGTGAGTAACATTATCTTTTTGTATATAAT